AAGGACCAACAAACGTGGATTTTTTAAAGAATATTTTTTCCAAGGACCAACAAACGTGGATTTTTTAAAGAATATTTTTTCCAAGGACCAACAAACGTGGATTTTTTAAAGAATATTTTTTCCAAGGACCAACAAACGTGGATTTTTTAAAGAATATTTTCCAAGGACCAACAAACGTGGATTTTTTAAAGAATATTTTTTCCAAGGACCAACAAACGTGGATTTTTTAAAGAATATTTTTTCCAAGGACCAACAAACGTGGATTTTTTAAAGAATATTTTTTCCAAGGACCAACAAACGTGGATTTTTTAAAGAATATTTTTTCCAAGGACCAACAAACGTGGATTTTTTAAAAAATATTTTTTCCAAGGACCAACAAACGTGGATTTTTTAAAGAATATTTTTTCCAAGGACCAACAAACGTGGATTTTTTAAAGAATATTTTTTCCAAGGACCAACAAACGTGGATTTTTTAAAGAATATTTTTTCCAAGGACCAAACGTGGATTTTTTAAAGGATATTTTTTCCAAGTACCAAACGTGGATTTTTTAAAGAATATTTTATCCGAGGACAAAATGTTGATTATATAAAAAATATGTAATTCAAGGATTAAAAGTATATTTTTAAAGCATTTTTTAAAGGACCAAATGTGAATATTTTAATGAATTACTTTTCCAAGGACCAAACTTGATTTTTTAAAGAATTTTTTACAAGAACCTAACGTGGATTATTTGCAGAAAAATACTTTTCCAAGGATCAAGCGTGGATTTTTTAAAAAAATATTTTTCTGTGATTTTTTTAAACCCTCCACCATGTAACACTTGAACATATATTTTAGACCCCACAAAGTATATATATATTCTTGATCAGCATAAAATTCTATGTCGATTTAGCGATGTCCGCCCGTCTGTATGTCCGTCTGTGGAAATCACTCTAGCTTCCCAAAGAAATGAAGTAGGTTGATAAAATTTTATTCAAATATATATTATGTCTGCAGGACTTTTAGTATTAGCCCACATATAATGGAATCTCCCTATTTTCGGTATTTTCGTGATTTAACCGACATTATTCAGCGGAAATGTTTCAAATTTGGTATTTGAATTTCGTAATGGATACTACAGCCTAAGACAGAAATTTGTATGTGCAGGCCCACGCCTTCGTATAGCCCCCATATAACGTTACCACTCCCCCCTGATATTCGGTATTTTCATGATTTTAGCGACATTATTTACCGAAGTAGTTTCAAATTTCGCATCTGAAGTTCGTAATGGATACTACAGCCTAAGACAGAAAATTGTCTGTGCAGGTCCACGTTTTATAACCCCCAAGGTACCTCCCGATATTCGGCATTTTGATGATTTTAGCTACATTATTCCTCGAATTTTTTTCAAAGTTTCACATTTGAATATTGTAATGGCTTAAGACAAAATTTGCCTATGCAGGAACACATCGACCCTAACATAACGGCTACGTTCGGTATTTTTAAGATTTAAACAGATTTTTTTACGGATTTTATTTTTTAGAGAATTGCTAAAATCGTTCCAACTCCTGGGGGGTATTCAAAGATCGGCCCGGCCGAACTTACAGCTTTTTTACTTTTTTTAAATACTTTCAATAAATATACTTTCCTATAGTTTACAGACTATTGTTGCAGAATTTTTTTTTTTTTTTTTTTCAAGGACAAACAGACCCCTGAAAGTGGATTTGTTTGGAAGATCAAAAAGCAGGCGCTAAACAAAATAAACATCAAAAAATTACTAATGAGCCAACCATCCTTTAATCCCATACTCCTCCATCCAGTGTCGCTCAAAACATGACAGTTAACCTAAATAAATATTTTTCTTTAATCATCAGTTTATAAAAATATATATTCATTAACAAAATATAAATAAAAATGTGTGTGTGTGCCACATTATCCTGCTCATTGCAACCGTATGCCGATTAACTCCTTGGCTTGATGTTGTGTGTAAAAATAAACCAAAATGTTTATATTACCCATGGTAAAGTGACCATTGGTAATATAAACAAATTTTGAAGTCAGATGCCCAGATGTTGGTAAATTAAATAAATATGGGATTAAAAAAAGATTTAATGTTTGAAAAATAGCGGCAAAGGTTTTAGAACCAAATGGGTTAAAGAAAAAACACAAAATAAAATTTTCTTAAAATAAACACAGAGGCACACATTTTTATAAAAGAAAATAAATAACTAAACGGAAAGCCAAAAAAACAAAATCGAAACAGAAGTCAATTAAAATTTGCTTCAACATGAGAAAGGCCTTCTGAAGGCAAACACGGGAGGGAGTGCATTAAATGATCCCAAAAACATCAACTATTTCTGGATTTTAAATAACCTGCCTGTGAAAGTATTGCATTTTCTAGTTCTTTTTAAGAAATGCTAGAAATAAAATTGAGCAATTTTTATTACAATTTTTACAAGGCTATCAAAATTATAATTTTGGATATTTTAGAGATTACTGATTGAAGGACTCTTGGTACTACAAAATTTAAATAAAAAAATTAAGGGACTAAATGGGTATTATGCATGGGCCATGTAGGTGCATGTTTTCATATAACCCCCATATAAGGTACTTTCCAATGTTCGGTATTTTTATGATTTTAGGGATAATTTATACAACATTAATTTCAAATTTTAACAAAAATTGCATATGCAGGTCATCGTTTTAGTATAGCCCCCATATGACGATGGCTCGATATATTTGGTATTTTGATGATTTTTGCGGTATTATACACCAGAATTTCAAATATCGTAATTGAAGTTCATAGTAGGTACTAAAGCCTATAACAAAAAATTATTTATGAAAGAACACGTCTTTGTATAGCACCCCTATAAGGGTTATCATTAAAGACGTATTTTTCTATGGATTTTTTTTTGAAAATTTTGAAGTTCTTTCGAAAAGGTTGAGGTTTCGCCCGGCCGGACTTAACTGCTATTTTAATTGTTTTTTATTTTATTATTATTATTTTTATTATTATTATTATTATTATTATTATTATTATTATTATTATTATTATTATTATTATTATTATTATTATTATTATTATTATTATTATTATTATACCCTCCACCATGGGTAGGAGGGTATATTAACTTTGTCATTCCGTTTGTAACACCTCTAAATATTCGTCGTAGACCCCATAAAGTATATATATTCATAATCAGCATAAAATTCTAAGACGATTTAGCGATGTCCGTCTGTCTGTCTGTCTGTCCGTCTGTCTGTCTGTCTGTCTGTCTGTTGAAATCACGATAGAGCCCACATTATTTGACGTAGACCTTTGAAATTTGGCACAAGTGTGTGTATTGTCCCTAGGATGGTTGGTATTGAAAATGAGATATATCGGTCCACGTTCTGGTATAGTCCCCATATAACGGTACCTCCCGATATTCGGTATTTTGATGATTTATGCCACATTTTTTCACGGATTTATCTGAAAATTGGTATTTGTAGGTCATGACGGGTCCCTGAGCGTGTGGCAAAACATTGCATGTATAGGTCCACGTTTTGGTATAGCCCCCATATAACGGTACCTACCGATATTCGGTATTTTGATGATTTATGCCACATTTTTTCACGGATTTGTCTGAAAATTGGTATTTGTAGGTCATGACGGGTCCCTGAGCGTGTGTCAAAACATTGCATGTATAGGTCCACGTTTTGGTATAGCCCCCATATAACGGTACCTACCGATATTCGGTATTTTGATGATTTATGCCACATTTTTTCACGGATTTGTCTGAAAATTGGTATTTGGTCACAACGGGTCCCTGAGCGTGTAGCAAAACATTGCATGTATAGGTCCACGTTCTGGTATAGTCCCCATATAACGGTACCTCCCGATATTCGGTATTTTGATGATTTATGCCACATTTTTTCACTGATTTGTGTAAAAGTTGGTATTTGTGGGTCATAATGGGTCCTAGCTCGTGTGGCGAAACATTGTAATTATAGGTGCACGTGTTGGTGTAGCCCCTATATAACGGTACTTCCCGATATTCGCATTTTAATGTTTTTTGCCACATTTTTTCTAATGTTCTTTTACCCTAGGGTGGAGGGTATTAAAAGTTTGGCCCGGCCGAACTTAATGTTTTTTTACTTGTTATTATTATTATTATTATTATTATTATTATTATTATTATTATTATTATTATTATTATTTTTTTTTTTTATTATTATTATTATTATTATTATTATTATTATTATTATTATTATTATTATTATTATTATTATTATTATTATTATTATTATTATTATTATTATTATTATTATTATTATTTTTATTATCATTATTTATTAGTATTATTTTTTTTTTTTTTTTTTTTGAAAAATATTTGAGACCTTTGGACTCTGTCAGAGATATTATATTGAATTCTAAAATGTTATAAGTGAACAAAATAAACAACAGGAGTATCAGGACAAAAATCGCGATTTTTTCTTATTTTGAATATAATATTATACTTTTCTATTTTTATTTATCATCAACTTATTTTTTTTTCTCCATTTTTTCCAATATTGTTCCCTGTTTGTATTGAAAGTAAATTTATTGTTTTTTTTTTCATTGCAATGATTTTTTTTATTTTTTTATTCAAATACTTCATGGAATAATGTTATGTATTCAATGTTGAGTTTTCATATTTAAAATTTTATCCTTGTCCATTGTCCTTTTCCTGTTCCTGTACTACGTTTCAATGTTTTTTGATAGTGACATTTAAACTCAATAGACGAGCTTTTTACTTTAAAAATGTATGTTATTTATTGTGTTATATATTGTTAAAATCAGTTTGTAATTTGTGTTTTTTGTAAAACAGATCCCTGAAGATGATTTCCGGAGGAAATCGAAATATTGGATGAATAAAAAAGGAAAAATTCAAAAATAAAAACATAGTTTTTTAATGACCTTAAGCCAAGCTATTAACCAAATAAGTAAAATAAATATAACAGGTCAACAATATACAACAACAACGTTTTTTATTTGCATCAATTTTCACTTGCCACCAGTCAAGCTGCTCAAGGCATCCAAAGGCAAGGCATTCAAGAGGGGTTCAGCTGAAGCAATGGCTAAGAAGTTCATGACGGCAACAGCAACAACGGCGAAGAAGGTTTTCATTTTGATCTAAGAAATATTTAAAAAAATATTTTATTTTAAAAAGTATTGAATTAAAATATTTTTTTAATTTTTTGGAAAATTATTTTTTTCTATATTTATCTTTTTAAACTTACTTTTTGGTGAGTTTCTTGAATAGTTTAAAGAAAACTGTATGCTTTCAGTATTCCCTTTCATGGTATTTATACTATTTTTGTTTAGACGATAGATATCTTTACTACATAGCAAAAACTAATTAAAATAAAGCACGATTTTTTTTTAAAGGAAAATAAAAATAATTATTACTCGAAAACAATAATGAGCAAAATATTAAAAATTAATAAATTGCAATGCGAAATGATAGGATCAAGATATCTTAAACCTTTTTTTTAACTTTGAAAGCCGTTTAATTTTATATTTTTCAAAATTCTTTAAAAATAATTTCTTCGTTTTTCTTATATGTCTTCTTTCAGATTTTCAAAAGAATTTTTTTTTAAACATGAAGCTATATTTAGAGAATATTTTTAAATAAAGTTCAAATATGTAGAAGTTTTAAAACTTTTATCAGAATAGAAATATTCATTTTAAATAAGACTTGGGTTAAAGGGCATTTGGAATTTATACCATATATATCTGCAGAATATTTTTTAAAGATTAAATTGAAAGGTGCTGTCAGATATATTTTTAAAGGGCTTTTGTAGAATGGTAGTGAGTTTCTTAAATAAAACTTTAATTAAAGAAGTCTTTAATAATACAGGGTGAGATGAAAAAACTGCAACCAACTTCGGACTGCTGTCATTTCTAAGCCACTCCGACATTTCTGGGCCACTCCGACATTTCTGGGCCACTCCTACAGCTGTTAAAATTGTTCCAGTGACAGCCCACTATATTGTTTACAAGCGTACAAAATCATTTTGGTGAGAATTTTCCAGAAAAGAAGTTATTAGTGGTGGAGTTCAAGCGTGATAGCGTGATTTCTTTATATTTGGCTGGAAAACCACAAGTGGCTATCGTTAGAGCACTCTAGCATTTAAATGTCAATAAACCTTTTGTGTCTCGTACCATCACTCGTTACCATGATACTGGTAGCATAGCCCGACGTCAAGGAAGTGGACGGAAAAAAACAGCAAAATCAGCAGATATGGTTCGAAAAATATAGAAGCGACTTGATCGAAACCCTCGTCGCAGTGGCCGAAAAATGGCTCGTGAGCTGAACATATCGCAATATTCCATTCGACAAATATTGAAAAATAAGCTCGGGGTACAGCCATTGAAATTCCAAAAAGTGCAAAAACTTACACCGCAACAAAAAGAAAATACACTCAGAAGAGCTAAAAAGAGTTGCTTCGCTTGGCCGAAAGTGGAGAACCGCCGAATTTGGGTTTCTCCGATGTGAAAAAAACATTCGTTGTTCAGCAGTTTATAAACAAACAAAATTATCGTGGTTACTTGCCAAAGAGGTCAGCAGAAAATGTAGTTGGCCACCAGAACTCAAGCGCCGGCTATGGTGATGGTGTGGGCCGCCATAACAGCCGATGGTCGCTCTCCGTTCGTATTAATCTATCGTGGTATCAGAATAAATGCCGAATATTATGGCGAAAATATTCTGGAGGGTGTGTTAAAGCCTTGGGCAAGCAAACATTTTGGCCGCAGACCTTGGACATTCCAACAGGACTCGGCACCATCGCTCTCAGCACGCGCCACCCAAGAATGGTTACAAAATGACGTTCCTCGCTTTATTTCCAGCGCACAATGACCACCAAAATCTCCAGATACCAATCCGTCGGACTATTGTGTCTGTAGTATTTTGGAAAGCAAGGTTGGCACTAAAAAATACCAAAGTGTCGATCACCTCAAGCAAGCGCTTCGCCAGGAATGGACCAAAATACCGCAGAGCAACATTCGGGCAGCGTGTGATGGTTTCATTGGCCGTTTGAAGGCCATAATTCATTCCAAAGTTAACCAATTCGAACAAATCTAAACTCAATCTAAAATTTAATGCAATTTCCGATATTTTTTGGTTTCATTCAATAACATTTAAAAAAATGTAAAAATAATGGCTTTATACTTTGTTGCAATTTTTTTATCTCACCCGGTACATGGTGGACGATAACCGTATAATCGGATGAAGATGTTTGTCGAAGCTATACAAAAATTTGAACCGATCCCGATAAAATTTGGGAGAGATTTTTTGAGCAGTATCTGATGCCCTGTATCAGATATCATTGTTGTGGAAACATATGTATGGGAGATATAGCTCTATCTCAACCGATTTTCACTTAAATTTGCAGTATTTGCTTCTAGTCTGAAGTCTGTCGGATGTGCCACAATTCAGTCCATTTGGACTGATATTAGCCATTTGTTGCACAAAAAAACCAAAAATCGGATAAGGATATATATGGGACCTACATCCGAATCTTAACCGATCTTGTATCGTATATGGTACCAAAGACTTTTGTTTTGTTTAGTGCATATTACGCATAAAAACCTCGAATCTGATGAAACATATATATGGGAGCTACAGCTATATCTAAACCTATTTTCACAAAATTTGAATTACTTGTTTCTAGAGTAAATTCCGTCAGATGTGCAAAAATGCAGGTCATTTGGACTGATATTGGCCATTTGGCGCACAATTAACCCGAAATCGTTTGACGATATATATGGGAGCTATATCTAAATCTGAATCAATCTCACCAATTTTAGTAGGGGTTGTCCCTGGGCCAAACAAATATTGTTTGTAAAATTTCATCTCAATCGGATAATAAATGCGACCTGCATTTTGTTCACAAAAATACATGGACTGATGGACGGACTGACATGCATAAATCGACTCAGAAAGTGATTCTATGAAGATCCTCAAAAGTAAATATTGATCTACCTCGCTTCCTTCTCCATGTTACAAACAAATGTATAAAAATGACACAACATTTTCGAACTATTTTACATAAAATGGTAGGCTTTTGCCCCACCTCCGTGAATTGTTCTATAGCTGTAATCTGCGGAGCAACTGCAAAATCAGAAAACTTTTTTGCGATCACTTTCCAAAAGCAATAGGCTTCTCTTCTGATCTTAACCCTAACTTCATACCAAATTTCGAATTGGGCCATAATAGCGACCTGGAGCTTGATTACAAATTATCGTGAACAGACTGAAGGACACATATAACTAGATCGATTTGGCTTTGCAAGATTCATGTATAAAAGCCTTTGTCCAGGAACTTTTTGGTCCAATAAAACTTATTTTATTTATCAATGTTAAATCGATCCTAAAATTATCCGTTTTATCCTAGGAATCTTAGCATATTCCGATTGAAAGTAAGAAGGAACTATTTACAAGGCTGTTTTTTTAATTTTCTTGAATTTATTGCTCAAATAATGTTATGTATTTAACAAAGTTTATTGTAGTTATAATTCATGTCCTTGTCCATCGCCATATTCCATTTCCTTTCTTTGTTAAACAATTAGCTAAATTGTCAAGCTTCTCACTTGCCACCAGTCAAGCTGCTCAAGGCATCCAAAGGCAAGGCATTCAAGAGGGGTTCAGCTGAAGCAATGGCCAGCAAGTTCATGACGGCAACGGCGACGACGGCAAAGAAAGTTTTCATTTTGATCTAAGAAAAATTATATATAACAAAAAAATAATAATAATAAATAAGTAAATAAAAATTATAAAACAGGAAACAATTATTTAAAAGGAGTAAATATATATACAATTGAATTAAGGAACATTTTTAATTAGATAGTGAATATATTAATACAAAAATTAATAAATATGGCAAATTTGAAATAAATGCCCTAATTATTTTTTCAATAATTCAAAAAATTTTAATAAAATTTATTAACTATTTATTATATTTTTAATATGTTTATATTTAATTAATTTATTTTTTTCTATTTTATACTAATATTATATATTTATAATAAATTAATTTTAAATTTATTTATTTTGTTTTCTATATTTTTATATTTTTTCGGAATTTCAAGCTATTAATATTTACATTTGTTTGTGTTGTTTGAATAGTTAAAAGAATACTGTATGATTTCAGCAACCATATTCAGGGCTTTTATACTAAATTCTGTTAAGGTAAACCCAGAACAGTTGAAGGAAAAAATAATTAAATGCAGACACGACATTTTGTGTAAATAAAATTAAATAGAAAATTTATTTATGACAGTGGTCATAAAAATGGTTATAGATAAGCAAGAGTAAACAAATAAAATTGCAGTGGAAAATAATTTGTTCACTCTTTCGAAAAAAATATAAAAAAAATAAATTAACTCCAATAATCGATTGACAAATTTTAAAAATCTAGTTACATAGTTTTAGTAGTTAGCTAAAATAACATTAACAAAATGCAATTCTTCCTTTGGCCCTTTGAAGCAAATGAAGATTTGATAGACCTTAAAAAAGGATTTTCATAAAAAAACTTCCACTGCCGCCCAGGTAGTCCTCTATTTTAGATCATATTAGCCCAAAAAAATGACCTCTAGTACCAATTCACAAATCCACCATTAAAGATCTGATAACCTTCATTTATAAATAATATTTATATTTTTCTTGTATAATTATATTTTTAGAGGATCTGCTAGGGTTAGCTGCAACATAATTTTTAAGGATATTTTTAAAGAACCTCAAACCAATAAACTTAGAATTTTGACAATATTTTTAAGGATCCTTAGACAATTTAATGTAGTTTTTTTTTAAATGTCTCAAAAGAGTTATCAGATCACTTATTTTTTTTTTTTTTTTTTTTTTTTTTTTTTTTTTAATTTTTGCACGACCAATTGGATCACTGACCATACAGTTTAAGGAAACCTCGGATTTTAAGACGATTTTTTGGAGGTACTCTCCGAGCAAAAATTTGAATTTTTCAAACTTGTGTTTTTGTTAAGAATTTTTGAGGTATCCACGGAGCAAAAAAAAAAAAACGATTTTTAAAGATTTTTTGAACCTGGGAGCTAGAAACGGAGATTTTTTTAAGAACGCCTGGGATTTATTTTGTTTTAAAAAATTTTGAAGAACCAGGCTTTTAAAGGCTTGAATTTCCAAAAGTGTGTTTCGAGGGACAATTGAAACAGGAAATGCTGTTTGTTTTGGGGATTTTTTAAGACCCTCCGGGCAAAACTTAATTTTTTAAAATATTTTGTAGGACCAGAAAAGAGGATTTAAAAAAGTTGAGATTGTTAAAAGATTTTTGAGAGATCCCGAGATTTTTTAAAGGTTTTTTTAAGGCTTGAATTTCCAAAAGAGTGTTTTGAGGGACAATCGAAACAAGAAATGCTGTTTGTTTTAGGGTTTTTAAGACCCTCCAGACAAAAATGGATTTTTTTAAATATTTTGTAGGACCAGAAAAGTTGATTTAAAAAAGTTGAGATTGTTTAAAACTTTTTCAGAGATCCTGAGATTCTTTAAATGTTTTTTTTTTTTTTTTTAAAGGCTTGAATTTCCAAAAGTGTGTTTCAAGGGACAATCGAAACAAGAAATGCTGTTCGTTTTAGGGATTTTTTAAGACCTTCCGGCCAAAAATGGATTTTGTATAGGAAACGTGATTTTTTTAAATTCAAAAATTAAGGTTTCTTCAGAGGAAGAAGTGGAGTTGCGTTTAAAAAAATGCAGGACCTTCGTTGATTGTAATAAAGCTACAGGTCTCAATTATGGCCCGATCAGCACGAAATTGAAAATGGAGGTGGGGTTAGGGTCAGAATAGAAGCCAATGGTTTGGTTGGAGATAATCGTAAAATATTAAGGAGTTGAAATGGACCAAATTCAGAAAAAAAACTTGATTTTGCCGTTGCTCTTCAGCCCTAAATTATAGACCAATCGAAGCGGAATTTAGCATGGAGTTAGAGTTTAGGGCTATAGCCTTTGTTTACTTGTTTTCCAAGTACCATCAGTCAACTAGACTTGCATTTTTTTAAGAATATATTTTCCAAGTCCATCAGAGCTCTAATCGTGATTTTGTTAAGTTTAATTTTTATGGTCCCTCAGTTGGTAGTATTTTTCTGATTCTTAAGATATAGGTTTTTAAAAGTTTCAAATAAACTATAATTTCAGTTTCGCCCTTTTCCAAGTATCATCAAGCGTAGATTTGTTAGAAAAAAATTCCAAGGACTATCGGAAAACTATAAGGATTTTTTTTGACCAACTGAAAACAAATCCTGATGTTTTCAAAGAATATTTTCTCCAGGACCATCAGACTATTGATGAATTTTTAAGGATATTTTTTCAAGGATAAATGTTTTAGCTGCCGATTTTTTTCTGATTTTTGAGAGATAGCTTTTTCACAAATTTCAAAAAATAAAAATTCCAGTTGGGTCCTTATTTAACGAAGATTAATTGTGAATTTTTTTAAGGATATTTTCCACAAAAAAAATTAATTCCAGTTAAGGATATTTTCTAAAAACCATCAGCTATAGAATTCTTCTGATTTTTAAGACAAGTTTTCACAATTTCCCAAAAAAAGACAAACATGAATTCCAGTTGGGTCCTTATTTAACAAGAACTAATCGCAAATTTTCAAGGTACATTTTTTTAGCTGTCGGTTTTTTCCGATTTCAAGAGAAAGCCTTTTCAGTTTCCAAAAAAAAAAAAAATAAATAAATAAATAAAATTCCAGTTGAGTCCTTATTTGACCAAAAATTTTCAATTTCTGACATTAAGATGTCCCGATACGCTAATTGTCTTCTAAATACCAACTAATAGCCGGAAAAACAAAACATTTACCAAGAAAATTAAATAATCAAATCTAATGTCCTCGAATTATGATTCATCAAGGATTAAAGCATGAAATCAAGCAAGAAACCAAGACGAAAGAGAATAACGCCAAACAAAATTCATTGTTTGATTTCAATGGAATTAAGTTGGAAAATCGAATGATGGCTAGGAAAACTAACGAGAAAATTGCAAATTTCATAGTGCATTCAAACGCTGGAAAGGGGACAATGGAAGGAGAGGGTAGAAAAGATTTTCATAGGAATTTTTTGGCTTTTAAAGAGAAAATGTCTTTGTTGAGGCCAGAATTTAGTCATGCTTTTTTCTCTCCTCTCTGACCAAAGTTAATGGTCTGTGTGTGTGTGTTGGGATACAAGACAATATTGGCCATAACTAAACAGCTGTCACGAATTTCATCCAAATACTTGGCATTTTGACTTTTGTCCTGACGACGAAAAAAACAATTTGGTTATTGAATGTCAAACGTTTGGAACAAATCGATTCGGTTGGACCGAACCAAATTTTATGTTGTTCGAACATTTCTGGTTGTCTTCTCCGTTTCTTTGGAATAAAAAGTTTATAATTTACCATGAAGAAGGGCATCCGTAATATGGCATCTAGGCATCCATTGTCTGCTAAGCGTGGCAAATTTGCCCTCTGTCTTGTAACAAAAGAGCGGGTGTGTGCATAGACATGGCAGGAGATCCTACTTTATGTTACGCATGTACTTTTGAGGGAGAATGAGAGAGAAAGAGAGAAAGAGAGAGAGAGAGAGAGAGGGAGAGAGTCAGTGTGTTGTGGACTACTGTTGCTACCCATACACCGGCCGTCTACATGCTGTGATGTGCGCATGCCCAGCCATCACAGCTTGGGTGTTTGGTAGCCGGGACACTATTAGGGACACACTTCTTGTCTCCGAACACAACAAGAATTTTTGGCAATTCGTTCTGCTCCCTATTGTCTCAAACTGTGTTCAATCATTGTCTCCCTAATGTCCTGAAATTGTTTTTCGTCGTTTCATTTTTACACAATGACAGGGCACATTCTTGTTGGATTCTTTTTGACACGCCGCATTAAAACTTTTTATTCTCCTGAAACGCTGGAGACAATGGAACAACCAAAGTTAACTCGGCCACACAGAATCAATTTGCCACAAGTCGTTGCATTTCAATGCCTGGCCCGAAAATGCAATATTTTTTCCAATACCAAAATTTTATGCTCCTTTTCAGGTCCCAGCGAATAAACCAAGAAATTGTGTGTTTGGAAACCTCAAGGAAGAAAAATTTGTTACAGCTGTTTGCCATGGGCAATTCAAAAACTTTATGCCAGTTTTAAAGCGTGACCATGAAGACAATCACGAAGAGACCAAATTAACTCTCTTGTCTTCTGGTATGACACTATGAAATTTGCAATTTTCCTGGTAATTTTATTGTCATCAAACTTTCCTTTCAGAAATCGCATCTATTTTGAGAAAATCACCTAATTTTCGTAGAATTCCATTAATGGTGTTTTGGGAGTTCCTTTCGTTTCTTGGGAAATTTCATGCTTTAATTTGGGGTCCTGAGAATATTTTTTCGGCAATGTTTGGTTAAATTTCTTAATAAATCAATTGTTTAAGGACTAAATTGAAATGTCCTTAAGTAATCATTAGCGTAACTAGTTATATTTGTGGGAGTTTTGAGAACTCTATTTTCAGGCAAAATTAAGAAACAGCTGAAATTTCAGATTTGAAAAATCGAATTGGTATAGAGATGTCAACAAAGAGATTGGTCCATTAAATTGGGACTTTTTAAAAAAATATTATTGGGGATCAGCATACTACAAAACTGAGATTTTAAAGGATATTTTTCAAGGACTATCGGACCACTAGAATTGGAATTTAAAAAAATATTTTTTTGACATAGATTTTTTTCAATATTCTTTAATTTTTGCAGCTCCCTCAGATCAATAACGAGAATTTAAAAAACAACATTTCTTAAAGTACCCCCATTCCAATAATTACGGATTGTTAAAGATTATTTTTTGAGGTGTTTAAGAATACTTTTGAAGGACTAGCAAGAGTAGAGCAAATATATTTTTAAAATATTTTCAAATTTTTAAGGATATATTTATACCCTCCACCTTAGAAAAGAGGGTATATTAACTTTGTCATTCCGTCTGTAACATCGCTAAATATTCGTCGTAGACCCCATAAAGTATATATATTCATAATCAGCATAAAATTGTAAGTCGATTTAACGATGTCTGTCTGTCCACGTTTTGTTATAGTCCCCATACAACGGTACCTCCCGATATTCGGTATTTTGATGATTTTTGCCACACTTTTTCACGGATTTATCTGAAAATTGGTATTTTT